TGGATTTCTCTGTATCTTAATTTAACAGTAAATTATGAATTTATATGTGCGTTTAAAACTCAGTAAATTAAAAAAAATAAGTTATTCCAATATTCGCTTGAAAATGAAACGGAACTAATGCTTTTAATTTAATTATATGATTAAATTTAAAATTTTTAGTTTCCATTTTTGAAACATGGTTATTACTGTGTAGTGAAAAAAAACTATATTTTCAATCAGTTAATTTATAATATTTATGCTCTGTAAATTTACATTAAGCACTGTTTTGTAAAAATGAAAATAAAACATATAAATAAGAACACCGGATTATATATCTTATTATTCTTTCTTTAAATAATATATATATATATATATATATATATATATATATATATATATATAATAACTATATAATTGGTATATACGGAATGAATTCCAATAACCAACAACTACTATTGTTAAAAGAGTGCTCAATACAAAGTAGAGTAGATATAATTATTTTTTATAAAAAAAATTTATAACATAAATATGTTATAAAATCACTACCAAAATAGCCATTTTGTAGTGATTTTATAACATATTTATGTTATAAATTTTTTAAAAAAATTATATATATATATATATATATATATATATATATATATATATATTTGGTTGGATTGATGTGAGTTTGTGACCCTGAGTTTCACGCTTTTGCGATCGTCAGACAAACTGATTAATTTTTTTTAAATTTTGGCTTTATGTAAATTGCGTCTATTAGTGTTATTATGGGAGTGGGGTGGAATCATCGTCATGATGTCATCGTGCTAACGCAAACATAGATTCATGTTCATACGCCCGATGAGGTACGCAGACACACATACACACTTGGTCGTCCGCCGGGGCTCATACACATATGAACATATGTGGACAGTATGAGATTTGACATATGTATGTATATGGGTGGTGTTTTGTCTATACATACGCATTTGTATGTTGAAATACAAAGATCAGAAGTGTAGCGAAAATTTCTCGTGAATGTATACATGTCAAAAATCAGAGCATTTTTCTATTTTTTCGCTGAATAATATTTCCTCGCATGCACGTATATACGCGTGGTGGGGTCTGTGTAAAATTATGATAGGTAAAAATTGCTATTATTTTTAATTTTTAAAAAGTTTATTTGTTATTATTTTAAAGCTGGTTATTTGCTTGTTTTTTGATGACTGTGTATATGTAACTGGTAGAAATTTCAGTTTGCAATCTTTATTGGTTATTTTTATGGTGGTATTAAATATATATATATATATATATATATATATATATATATATATATATATATTCTTTCTTGCTTTTTTTTCATGTTTGTTTTTAGTGCAATAATTAAAATTATTTAGATACAATTCTACACGTCGAAATTCAGCGCTGCAAGCAATCTTACAATCACAAAATTATTTTTAGGCACTCTATATTAACCTTAATAACCTTTTGCTGCGTACGTGACTAGCTCGCTTTCAGGTTCCTGAAAATACTTGAAAAATGGACGATTAATTTCGTATATGATTCAATTGCATATTTTCCACGTTGTCTATTTTCTTTCTTCTCGTTTAACTATTCACAGCAATTTAAAAACTTGTCTGAATTTCTTAAATGAAATATTGACATTATTAATTTCAAACTAGTTAATCTTTTATTTGATTGTTGTTGCTCGTTTACACGTTTTTAGTTTTTCCGAATTCCCTCAGTTGTTTCCTTGTCGTTATTAGTTTTTGAATAGTTTTTCGACAAAGTTTAACAAACATGTCAACAAAAAAGTTATGTCAGGAGGACAGTTTTTTCTTGATACTGCATGGAGGTAAATAATAATACATAATGTTCAACTGTTAATAGGGAATAATAATATCACGTCGTGGTCACAACTATTATGGTAGAGAGCAATGGAGAAAGGTTTATTCTTCCATTTATATTTCCCCCATTATGGGCATTATTATTATATCCATGACATAATAACACCGTAATACACGGACGGAACGGAATGGCTGAAAAGAAAACGAATGGCAAACACGCTGTGTTCTCAGAGAGACCTTTATACTACTAAGATATACACAGAGCTATACATACATATATACACGTGTCCCACGCGGAAAACAATATATCCTATTACTCCTTACACAGCAAGCAGAGTGTAAGGAGAAACAAAAGGATGGGTCTTACATATAATATGGAGATTTATTTGTGTTTCTGGAAAAGCCATGTTTAGGGTTCCAGATTCAAACGGACCAGATTCATCAACTATGTCTCAGGTGTCTCGAAGGGGAAACTGCGGGTTTTGGTTTTTTCCAAATTTATATATTGGGGAAGATAGATTCAGAAAGGGAAACGGCACCATGGACTTGTAAGCTGTAGCATTTGGCAGAAAGTTACCCTCGAGCGGAAGATCGGGCAGGACAAACAAACTTACTGACTCAATGACTGGGTACTTTCGTCAATGTATGAAGTGACGTCATTAAGCGGCCGTCACGTGACTAATCTCCACTAAAGGGAGATAATCGCCTTCTGTATCTCTACACTACACACTCTCTCTATTTTCGGCTACACTTTCTAAACTTAGTCACATTATTCTTGTAAATAAACAATCTAATAAATATATAATGTTTACCATTTTTCTTGTGTATTCTTGAGAAAAAATGTAGACATATGCAAAATGATCCTGGGGTGGTTCTTGTATAACTCGTATTACCACCCAACAGCTATTTAATAGGAAACGATATTTTCTTCCACTTACTTCTCTGTATAAATACAAGTTACAAAATAAAATATAAAAGTAAAAAAGGTAAATAAATTTACTTTGATAAAGTTCCTCAGGAGACGAAACGCGTTGGCAAAGTTTTTATTTTGACTTTTATTTATATTGACTGTACAGATGTATTTTTTTTTATATATCTGAACTCAGAATCAGGAAGAGACAGTGAAGATTCTTGAACGCATAATGTGGAAGGGGTGGGGGGCTTGGAAAACTAATTTCACCTCGGAATTAATTTCAACTCGGAACTAATTTCACATCGGAATTAATTTCAACTCGTAACTAATTTTAAGTCGGAACTAATTTCAGTTTGATTTAAAATGAAAGTTATCAATTTCCCTGAATTCCTAAACAATGACCAATGAGTTGGTGACATGAGTTGATGTTAATTGGTATTAGTTGGTGTTAGGGTTAGACATGTATCCTCAAGGACACATGGTCAAATGGATAAAGACGTTGGTTAGATCCAGTGACTAGACCCAAAGAGTTGTGAGTTCAATATCAAGCCACAGCAGTAGTGAACCAAAACTTGGAGAGTTGAGTTAAAGGGAAATAACTGAGACATTTAGAAGAGGCATGGCCTGTGGAACTAGAACAATCTACCCCGGTAGACAAAATAAAGGGTACGGTTCGAAATTCCAATCACTTGAAGAAGGCTGGAGCGTACAACGGCCGAAACGTTGTGAATATGACAATGAAGATGAGAATAATAGTCCGAATAATGTAAATAATGCAAGTTAAAACTTTATTAAAAATGTTCAACATGTGCTTCGTCTGTATCCCTGCAAATTTCTATATCTAACCTTAGCGTTGCGGAACACATTTTGAAGCATTTAAGGAGTTATCTCCTTCACTGCAAACTGAATGCGTTTATCAAACTCAGCTGAACTATTGATTTTTTTTTTTTTGTCAATCTTTAAAATGTGGGAGGTATTTCTGTTGCACCCTGTATAATAACACCAACAAAGATCTATCTATATTTCTGAGATGAGGTATTGTGACAATTTACACAATTTACATGTTTCGGACTGTTGTTTCATTGCCGCATTCACGATGTTTCGGCCGTTGTACGCACAGGCCTTCTTCAATTGATATTTATTTGAGGAGATTTAACGGATGTCAAAATTCGTTGAAAAATACATCCCTACCCTACCCCACCCTACCCTATCTATCTATCTATCTATCTATCTATCTATCTATCTATCTATCTATCTATCTATCTATCTATCATATTCTATTTCTATCTATCTATCATATTCTATTTCTATCTATCTATCTATCTATCCTTAGCTTTGCGAAACATATTTAGAAGCATTTGAGGTGTTATCTTTTGCACAGATGACTGAATGAATTTTTCAAGCTCAGCTGAATTATTGATCTTTTGGCGATAAACCTTTGTTTTTTATGATACCCATGGAAAGAAACCCAGGAGTGTGTGTGTGTGTGTGTGAGGGGGAGGATGTCAACAAAGGTGCGGTCTTGTGCATTCATTATTAAGAGGGTTTTGGAAGGGAAAGAAAATAAAATTAGAAACAAAATTAGAAACAAAACTACAAATTTATACACTTGTAACATATATTAAACACGATGAACATAAGTAAAAAAAGTGATTTTTAAAAAAAAAAAGAAAAAAAAAAGAAGTCCGATTTCACTGAAATAGGTAATTCTGGGACCACCCTATAGAGTTATATATGTGTGGGTGGGTGGATAGATAAGTATGCAGCGTTGCTTATAATTCTTTTGGTGAATTTTAAACTGAAATTATCGCTTTATAATGTGCTTAATATTTTCATCTTCACCACTGAATTAAATTAAAAATAAAGAATCAAAAGAGATTTTTTGAGTAAAGGAATTTCTTTTCTTTTTTTTTCATGAAGAAGTTACGTACTTTTGGATCTAACCCCGTGTTTGTATGTGTGTGTGTGTGGGAGGGGGGGATTAATTACCGGTTATAAGTTTTCGGCAAAGGAAAATTCACCTCTGCCACTTCTTTCTTCTTTCACAATTACTGAATTGACGTCAAAGTTGGAAGGTAGAAAATTAACGAACGAATAAGTTTTGTAATGTACTGTGGGTGCGACTATTTTTTTTAAGGAGGGAATGACGTACAAGGCTAAAGGTATGCATAAGCGAATTAACATTACATAATTACTTAGATATGCTTACTTTTGTTACAAAGTTATAAGTACCAAGCACAGAGTGCGGATCGAACTCGATATACTTAGTCAGTTAAACTAGCTTGCGGCGACATCACGTTAACAAACCGGTTTCCGGACGAACACCGAAGTTAAGTAACATCGAGCCTGGTCAGTACTTAAATGGGTGACAGCTTGGGAATGCCAAGTGATTGAAGATTGGATGTGTGGGTGGTGTAATAGGTAATGGCTCGGAATTGTTAATCGGAGAGCCGAGTTCCAATTCCCATTGCGCTCTTTATATTCCCTTGGGAAATGTATGAATCCATCTTTGCTCTCCCCCTCTATGGGTTAATTAGTAAGTCTTGTATCACTCAACCATTATTATCTAAAAAAAATCTTGCAGTCTAAAAATATTTCCTGGCCTTAAATAACCTGAAAAGAATTGAAAAATAGATTGTTACGGTACTGAGTTGAAATAAAAGTTTGTAGCATATTGTTAAGTAACTTTCAAAGACAATATTTAGATATTTGTACATAGATTTATGCAACTATATAGGTGCACTTTTGTTGTACTGTCTTTCGCCATCTTTGAGGAAACTTTATTATCCTATCCTCTCAGAACTTGCAAACCAAAATATGTTCCGGCTTTAAATAACCTACAATGGGTTGATAAACGGTAAGATAAATAAATAAATCTCAGAATTTGGTATCTTTTGGGAAGTGAACTCTGTTTTTTTTCTTTTCTTCCGTTCGTATGTCGCTAGCTTGGTTACGTAATACCGACGATACAGTCAATCGGCTTTCTTTTCTCTCCTCGGTTGGAGCCAGTGTGTCGTCTCGCTAGGGTTGTTTTGGGTTTCTCAAAATCTTACGATCCTGGGATTGACGGTGAAGTCTAGTGTCAACCCCTTATATACGTTGTGTACTATGGGCGGAACTACGCAACCCCATCGAAGACTATGCAATTCATGTCGAAGATTACATAATTCCTGCTAAGATTACGCAACATTTTCCATAGCCGTGGTAAACTTTTGTCTCTTTCGTCTGGGTGCCCATCAGAACACAGAGTAGAAAAAGAACTCCCTCGCATGAAATGCACAATATTGTTGCTAACTCTAACAATAGGCTTATTAAATATAAAGAAAACTGGTTTAAGAAAATGTCCATTAGCAACTGCAAATCAAAATACTTTACTCCAGGTAAAGTGATTTGGAGATTCTGGTTGCACTTATTAAAGTGAGGCCCAGTCATCTCTTCGGTTATGCGTCGGAGATTTCTAAATATAAGCGCTCAGGTAATGACCCTTTCGTCGACGTTTCACAATTCTTCTGTTATAGAAGATTTATAATCATAATCGCTCAGCAAAAGACCCAGTGGTCAACGTTTTTCAATTCTGTCATGCGTGTGTCAGTGTTTTCGTACCGGCCCGGAAATTGCGGGTGTTTTTTAGCGATGACTTTGGCAATTCCGGACCCACACCGAGATCTCCCCGCGTCTGACGAATACGGGGAGGAACCACTCTCAGCTAACGCGCACTCGATATAAGAATCTTTCCTGATAACGATGCTTGATACCTACTCAAAGACGGCAGACAATGGCAATTCCTACTGCCTAAATTCCACTATCTCCGTCTCCCGGTGCCAAAATCTGGCTTTTCTCACTTGTGTCAGAAATCCTAAATAATGTCAGTAATAAAATTTTTTGACGAATGTCACAGAAAAACGAAAATAAATGAACCCGTCAACAATCTTAGGCGCTAATTTTTATTTTTGTAAGGATATTTTTTCTGGGTGGCCAAAACAACCTTTCTACATAAACCAGATGATTTCCTGGTTCTTTGTCAAAAATAATTTTAGATGTTATTTTCGATGATGACCCATTTTTTTTTTACCGATAAGGTACTGTAAACAACGTATGTTTTTCTGTTTTTGCCAAGACACGTTGTAAGGAAGGAATTGGAAGTCTTTGGTTTCGCTCAATATTATTGAATTCCGTCTAAATAAATTCGGGTTCGATTCTCCCTCGAACTGTTCTTGATTTCATTTTATTTTAAAACAATTTTTTACGCATTTCGTTTATAATTTACTCATCAACGATTCAACCCACTTCCCTGAGAATTTCAATCACTTATCATCCAGTTAATAGTCTTTCCAAATCACCAACCTGCAATTTCATGCACTTAAAAGTTCAGACAGGGTCAGTACCCTGTTACAATATGTCATACATTTCAGATACATGTTAAAAGAAATCTTGTGTTCAAACGCCACCAATTAAAAAACCATACAAATTTTTGCTCGCGCAAAACAAACACCGAGTGTAGATCATTTATGAGATCTTAAATAACGAAATGGTCTTCGTAATGGGCCAACCATCGCTAGACGGTTGGTATTAATCTGCATATTAGCATATATTACACTAAACACTGATACTTTACCATCTCGACGAACAAACTCGACTATTATTACTACAGAGAGTTCCTTCTTCATTGGGTGCCACAGATTCTGGTTTGATGCCTGAAGATATAAAACTTAATGAATATTCGATATTTCACGACTGTAGGCATCTTACGATAGGGCCGTGGATAGTAACGATGAGAACAGCTCTTTGCATACAGCAAACATTCGACTTTTATTGAGTGAACTATCTGCGTTGCTGTCGATTGAAATTTATAAAATATTTTTCTCTATAAGAATTATTATTATTATTATTAATATTATTATTATTATTTTCTTTGATTTTTGGCGTTTACACATTTCTTTCCGGGTCCCGCCCAGGGACCTAAGGTTAAAAATGGCATCATGACACTTTCCACTGACAAAAAAAAAAAAAAAAAAAAAAATTACATAGATAAAGCCTTTCGTAAAGTGTGGGCTGTACTTGCCAGAACATTTTTTTGTATCTCCTTGAGGCATGGACTTCCAGGAATCCCTTCAATTAGTCTACTGCAATCTTTTCCAACCAGTCCTAGGGCTCCAACTACAACAGGGATTGTTGATGTTCCATATGACACATTTTCGAGATTTCTATTTCAAGGTCCTTGTATTTTGACAGCTTCTTGAATATCTTCAAAGATACATTGCAGTCAGCAGGGACTGCCATATCAATAAGGAGGCACATTTTTGTTTGTGGCCTTTAATAACAATATCTGGGTGGTTGGCTTTGATTGTTCTGTCAGTGTGTATTGTGTAGTCCCATAGAATTCTAACAGGTCCTTTGATTTCTGTTTCTATACACATTTCCTTCCGGGTCCCAACCAGAGACCTAATTTCAGAAATGGCTTCATGACATTTTCCACTAATCATTTTTGTAAAAGATCCCACATATTTTACATAAATAAAGCTCTTCGTAACCTGTGAGTTGTACCTGTGACTACAATTTTTTTTGTAATTCTTTAAGGCATGGGATACGAGGAATTTATTCAATGAGTCTATTGGAACCTTTTCCAATCAATCCGAGAGCTACAATTGGAATTATTGATGTCCTCGTGTGCCATATTTCCACTTCAAGATACTTGTATTTTGATAGTATTCTTAAGATCATCAAAGATTCATTACAATCTGCAGGGACTGCCATGTCAATAAGAAAGTATATTTTGTTTTTGTGGCCTTTGATCACGATGTCTGGGCGATAAGCTTTGATTGTTGTGTCTATGTATAATATAGAGTCCCATAATATTTTTACGGGTGCTACTTCTGTAACCGGGTCTGGGTGATGTTCATACAAGTTTCTTGCAGTTTCCTACCCGTAAAAGTTGCATATTTTCCAATGCAGATATTGGCCCACTCGATCATGTCTGGTTTTATATTCAGTGGGTGCTTAAGACTGTACAACCTGATACAAGATGATTAATTGTCTCCGAATACTTATCACAGTATCTGCATCTGGTTAACACAAGTTTTCAATTATTATTATTATTATTATTGTTATTATTATTATTATTGTTATTATTATTATTATTATTGTTATTATTAATATTATTAGAAAAATAGTCTTCTTATGCCTACTAAATCTTTCTGTTCCAGATGGGAGTTTCCTTCCTAACTTGTTTTTAAAGTATGTGTGGAAGATCGACATCTTGATTATACCATTATTTTCCTTTCTAGTTACACGTGCTACCCGCTTTTGTTGCTGTTGTTGGAAGATTTGAAGCTGTTTTTAAACATTGATCTGAGAAAGCGGCTGTATAGCTGATAGTTTAAACATGTTGGATGTCATGCATATCATCTACATGAGTGTCACAGAAACTTTACTAATGTGATGAATATGATCATTACTAGATGTTTCAGAATTGTGAATACCTATTACATTCATCGGATTAAATATGTGAGTAATGAGGATTAGCAAACAGGATTTAAGGTTCAATTCCTAATGTCAGCTAATCAGTCTTCTTTCTAGCGGATATTGAAGTGGAAAGAGGGATTTGAGTTCAAATTCCAACCCAGTCTATTGGCTTCACTTATTGTTTTTAATCATTTCACCCCAAGCAAGGCAATAATGCCACTCATGCACAAAAGAGTACTAACCTGTTACGCGATATCTGACCTCGTATACGCCAGTAAGTGATGAACGGTTGCGTTACAAATGAAGAAGAGATGAAGCAAATGTGGTTCTACAGAAGGATACTGAGGACACCATGGTTCGATTATGTGAAAAACAACGAAGTTTTAGAGAAAATGAAAGCAAAAAAGAGACTTATACTTAACATCAGGAAGAGAAAGTTGAAATTTCTAGGACACATAATTAGGAAAGAGGGCTTGGAAAATATATACTCACAGGACAGATTAAAGGCCCTTTTGCCTTCAGTCTGTCCTGTGACTATCAGAGGAAAACAACGCATAACCTACTTAGTGAGCTTGAGTAAATGGATGTCGGAACAAGGATTTAGGAGAGATAACAAAAAGATAAAATTTATTAAGAGGACAGGAAGTTGTGGAGAGCCACCATCGCCTACGTCGGAGGAGGACACGGCACATAAAGAAGAAGCTGACAAGGAAGCAAGAACTTCACATTAATTCCCTTGGTGAAGTCACAAATCCATCTCTTCTCCTCAGCCCCATCTATGGGTTAAATGTCAAGGTAGATTGTGCTCTAGACTTGGATGGTAAACAGTTTAAGAGAACGAAAAATCAGAATTCAAAATCTCCAAAAAAAAAAAAAAAAGGCAAAAGGAAAGTAACCTTTCTAAGAAGCCAGTGCGATTCACGCATATAA